TTATGACAAAAAAGGCCTATGCACAGTGGTCCAAGATGCCAATCTAGCTGGAAAAAACTCAATTTTTTTATGTTTCAATGTTCACATAATTTGTTTGGTAATCATTAGATAACAGTCCACTGTTCATAACTGTATATCAGTTTTTTTGTTTTTTTTCTAATTTGCTTTGTTATGATGTTTTGGAAATGAACTATTGTATTATCACTGTTGTTTTAGCAGGCCTGTCGATTGCCAGCATCACATTTGAACTGTTCGTAACATCAAAGAAGAAAAAATTTTGTCGTAATTTTTTTTACATTGCATCATGTCAGGTATGTTTAAGCTATATTGTAGATAAATGTCGAATTTAAATGTTCTGTGTGCAAAATAATTGGTAAGAGGAAATATGTGTTTTGTGTAGCAAAATTTAGCAGTTTATGGTTTTTAGAGTAACTTTTAAATAGGATTCCCGTGGATTCCCGTGAAATGAATTGTGTCCTGTTGATCTGTGTGGTGTCCACTTTAGATGAAAAAAAGAAATAGCTGCAATTATTGACCGGTAAACTTTTTATATACATATATAGATAACATACCCATAACACGGAGAGAACTATATAATGTGTGGATTGCCGAAATGGAAAGCAAAGAAAGGGCAAAAGCTGTCATTAGTTATTTTTTTGCTAAGAGTGGTTTACAGAAAACTAAAACAGAAGATTATTGCAATAAAGTTGAGTTAGCTGTACGGAGATTAACGTATTCAATTAACGAAAGGTGGATAAAAGCAAAAAGATCAAAGAAATATTTTGAAGACTCTAATAAAATTTGGTTAAATGGAGTATTTTGTCTTCCTTCTGAAAACGTGATTAAAATTCCAGAGGATTTAGGGATCCAACCGTCAACGTCAAATTTTGGTAGACCTCGATCTGATTTTTCAGGTAAATCTGAAAAAGGGAAGCGTTTGGAAGTGTCAACTTTAGTTAGTGAATGTTCACCTGAGAAACTAGTTTTCGCTGCTGGCGTTAGTCTTTATAAGTCTGGCAAGAGGAATGCTGCCGCGATTCTAAAGAACATAAATGAATCTCCAACGAGAGCAACTAAAATTAAAAAAATTGTTAATGCACAATCTAAGGAACCAGTACCATATACAGATGACGAAGCATTACGACTGTTTATCGATGTAAAATATACAAAAGCAAGTTATAATGCGATGCGTGCTGGTGCTAAGATCCGTAACGCGGATATATACCCATCATATCATAGAATTTTAGAAGCTAAAGAAAAGTGCTACCCAAGTAATGGAATAAAGGTATCCGATGTAACAGCAGAAGTGCCTCTGCAGGACTTAGTGGATCACACTGCATGTAGAATTTTAAAGTTACAAAAAGAGGTCATAGAGGAATTCAATTATACGGAATTGACTTTGACGTATAAATGGGGATGTGATGGTAGCAGTGGACACTCAACCTATAAGCAAAACTTTAGTTCAAATGATTCCCGTAAGACAGATGAATATTTGTTTGCAATTTGCTTGGTACCTTTGCAGCTAAAGTACGATAACCATATCATATGGGAAAACCCACGTCCATCATCTACACGTTTTTGCAGGCCAATTAAACTGATTTTTGAAAAGGAAACAAAATCGTTGATTCAAGATGAAACTAATTACATTCAAAATCAAATTAATGCAATAGTGTCAACAGCTTCTAACATTGAAGATAAAACGGTTATTGTTAAACATGTGTTTTATTTAACAATGATTGATGGCAAGGTTTTCTTAATTCTTAGCGATTCCTCTACTCAAAGATGTGGTATTTGTGGAGCAACGCCAACCATTATGAACAAACTGCACGAAATTAAAGCCTTAAATGTAAGGGCCAATCTTTACGAATATGGGTTATCGACATTGCATGCGTGGATAAGATGCCTGGAATGTGTATTGCATATATCTTACAAAATTGAAATTAGAAAATGGCAAGCTCGTAGTGCGTCCGATAAAGATTCACAGAAGAAAAGAAAAGAAGAAATAATTAGCGCTCTGAAATCAGAAATGAATTTGCTTATTGATATTCCTAAGCCTGGAGAAGGAAGCACAAATGACGGTAATACCGCTAGAAAATTTTTTCAGCAACCTTCCTTAGCTTCTCAAATAACAGGTGTAAATGAAAGTTTAATAAAAAGACTAGGAATAATTTTGAGAACTATGTCATCTGGTTATGCAATTAATGTGGAAGCTTTCCGAAAATATGCGATGGATACTGCGGAACTATACGTAGAACTGTATGAATGGTACTATATGCCATCGAGTGTCCACAAAATTTTGATTCACGGCGCAGACATAATTCAAAATGCGGCACTACCGATAGGAATGATGTCGGAGGAAGCACTAGAGTCTCGAAACAAAGATTTTAGATTTATTCGCGAACATCACACTAGAAAAATGTCACGAGAAAAAACAATGGAAGATCTTTTCAATTATTTGCTTCTGTCATCAGATCCATTAATCTCATCTTTTTCAGCAAAGCCATTTGTTAGCTCTCGAAATGAAGAACTATTAGGTGATGAAGATATTTCATTACTTTTAGATCCTTTTATACAGGAAGATGTAGAATAATTTAAATAAATGATTATTATTTTAAATATATATTAATATTCTTATGTTGTTTTGTATATATTAACATTCATATACTTTCAAATGCCATAAAAATTTCCACGACTATTTTACCTACAACGCCCATTTTTGGTACAAAGAATGCTTTCAATACGAAATACATAATTCCAAAATTTCATACTTCTAGCTGCTTCCGAAGAGAAGTTATGACTTTTTTCCAGCTAGATTGGCGTCTTGGACCACTGTGCTATGTAGGTAAACGTCGTATAGACCCCAATATAACGACTATATTCGGTGGTTTTTAAATTTTAACATAATTTTTTAAGAACTTAATTTTTTGAAAATTACCAAATTCGTTCCAAATGGTGGAGGGTATTGAAAGTTCGGCAAGACTTGTTTTTATTCAAGTTTCGAATTTGAATATTGCAATGGTTTATGACAAATGTTGCCTATGCAGGTCTACGTCGTCGTATAGGCCCTAATATAACGGCTATATTCCGCATTTTTATACCCTCCACCATACTATGGAGGGTATATTAACTTTGTCAATCCGTTTGTAACTCCTCGAAATACTCATGTCAGGCCCAACAAAGTATATATATTCTTGATCTGCGTAAAATTCTAAGTCGATTTAGCGATGTCCGTCTGTCTGTCTGTCCGTCTGTCTGTCTGTTGTAATCACGCTATCTTTCGAATGAATTAAGATAGATGGCTAAAATTTTGCACACATGTTTATTTTTCCAGTAGGCAGGTTAAGTTCGTAAATGGGTCATGTAGGTCCACGTTTTCATATAGCCCACATATAACGGTACCTCCCTATATTCGGTATTTTGATGATTTTGGGGACATTTTTCACTGCCATTGTTTCAAATTTGGTATTTGAAGTTCAAAATGGATACTACACCCTAAGACAGAAAATTGTCTGTGCAGGTCCACGTCTTCGTATAGCCCCCATATATCAGTACCTCCCTATATTCGGTATTTTCATGATTTTAGTGACATTATTCACCGGAATTGTTTGAAAATTGGTATTTGAAGTTCGTAATAAATACTACAGTCTAAGATAGAAAATTGTCTGTGCAAGTCCATGTCTTCGTATAGCCCCCATATAACGGTACCTCCTGATATTCGGTATTTTGGTGATTTTAACGACATTATTCACGGGAATTGTTTCAAATTTGGCACTTGAAGATCAAAATGGATACTACACCCTAAGACAGAAAATTTCTGTGCAGGTCCACGTCTTCGTATAGCCCCCATATAACTGTACCTACCTATATTCGGTATTTTGATGATTTTAGCGACATTAGTCACCGGAATTGTTTCGAAATTGGTGTTTGAAGTTCGTAATGAATACTACAGTCTGTGACAGAAAATTGTCTGTGCGGGTCCAGGTCTTCGTATAGGCCCCATATATCAGTACCTCCCCATACTCGGTATTTTGACGATTTTAGGTACAATACCCACCGAAATTGTTTGAAATGTGGTATTTGAAGTTCGTAATGGATGCTACAGCCTGTGACAAAAAATTGTCTATGCTGGTCCAGGTCTTTGCACAGCTCCAATTTAACGGCACCTCCTTATATACGATATTTTGGTGATTATAGCTACATTATTCACCGCTTATGACAAACAATGCCTATGTATGTCCACGTCGTATAGACCCCAATATAACGGCTATATTCGGTATTTTTAAAATTTTAACAGAATTTTTTAAGGATTTTATTGTTTAAAAATTTCCAAATTCGTTGCAAATGGTGGAGGGTATTAAAAGTTCGGCACGGCCGAACTTAGTGCTTTTTAACTTGTTAAGATTTAAATAGCATTTTTAACGGATTTTATTTTTTTGAAAATGGCTAAAATCGTTGCAAATGTTGGAGGGTATTCAACGATCGGCCCGACAGAACTAGCTTTTTTACTTGTTTTACCTCATACTTTATTAAAAGTTACTTGGTACTACTCGGTTTACTTATTAACACTTGACACTTGTCCAATATTTCAAAATTATACCATACTGGCAATAAAATATTAAAAATGACGCCATATTAAAAAAGGCGTTAATTTTTTTTATCAAAGATTGTGGAATTAAGATTTAGGTGAGATCGTTTTACTTTTGCTGCTGCGCTTTCTCTTTCGAATACTCCTCACAGAAAAAAAGATTTGCTCGATAGGACCACAAACCTTGTACAATTAAATGAAGATGTGAGCTTTAGCGAGATTACAAGGTTAATATGTATGAATATGCAACACATAGAAACATTTATGGACCGGCTCATCTCATCTAGACATAAATATGTGTAATAATGGGTGTAAGAGGTATCAATACAATTGTTTTAACATTCCAGTTCCATATAAAGTGACTTACATTCTAACGCAAATAATAACGTTTTATAGAAAAAACAAATATACTCACTTTGTTACTTTAAATACTCGGAGTAGGCGGACACATCGCAAAACTGATACTCCCAGAGGTGCCATCAACTCACTACTGGTTAATACCATTTCAGAAATACTTCCTATAACCACAAAACAGTCGAATCGATTGAACAGAGACACAAAGTATCCCTGAAACCCCAGACTGTACATTTTCAATATCATTTCACAAGTAAACAATGCGATGAAAAATATATTAGTATATTCTGAAAAAAAATATTTATATATTAGGAAGACGGTAAATATAAAGATTTTTATTATATGGTTACTTTATATTATATATTGAGGAGAGCTATTGTGTTTAGCAAATTAAACCTACAACTTCTAAGTTGGTCTACTTTCTCTCCTTCAAGTTAAGAACAACAGCAGTATGAAAGCTCAGAGAGTACTCCGAGAATAATAGGGAAACGCTTATCAAAAAGCTATATAAGGTTAGACCAATGCAAATGCAGGCTCTAGAGAGGGTCGTAGCACCATTTACGTCCAAATGCGAATACAGACCTTGAAATTGATCCAACCATATAGGCTGCCTGTAGTGTTCGGTCGCAAGTACTCCAGTGTTTAAAAAAACTAATAAGATTATCAACCAGTAGAATGCCTGCGATTTGACAGCTTTTCTGCAAGCTCGACGAATGCGACGATTAGTGCGCTCTAAGTTCTTTTTTTTTGATCGAAACCATGAATCTGTCTGCTGAGTCTCATTTTCATGGTCTTTAAAATTATCAATGGAAACTACTTCTTTTACTTTATTTTTGTGACAATCTTCTATTATCTGAGCATCTGGGTCTGGTTCAATATCTTCCGCCTGTGTAATCCAATCCAAATAGCCTCGCAAGTCTTCTTCTATTTGCTGCTTTTCTCGAAGTTTTTGAAAATCGCCGCGATTTTTAGCTTTCGTGCGTTCTTTTGAAAATTCTCCAGATAAAACGCCAAGAATTAAATTCATTACAAAGAATGCTCCTAAAATAACCATTGAAACAAAATACATCCATTCCCAGCTTGATCCCATCGCATCTTGTATCTGAAAATTATTAATTCCAAGAGCATTACTATAATTAAAATTTTAACATATCATACACTATACAAAACGTCAGTCCATCCCTCTAATGTTATGCATTGGAATACTGTCAACATTGATAATCCAAAATTATCAAAATTAGTAATGCCATCGTTAGGTCCAACCCAATCGTCGAAACATTCATATCCTGATGGGCATTTAAAACCAACTCCACACGCGTGTAATTCATCCAAATCATTTAGATACTCTCCAGTATTTGAATGTCTGCATGTCTTGTGAAGTTTTCCAGAAAATAATTCAAGTCCAATTATAGCGTAAATTATAATAACAAAAAGCACCAATAGCGCAATATGAAGTAAAGGTATCATGGCCTTTAGAATTGAATTCAAGACAACCTGCAAACCTAAAAATATGAACAAGTGTTGGTACTTAATGGAAATATTTTAAATTAACTTACTTGGAACTCCTGATACTAATCTTAATGGTCGGAGAACTCTAAATGCTCTTAGAGCTTTAACGTCAAAACCTTCCTTTACGAGATTTGATAAAGCAGTAGATATCATTCTTAATATATTTTGCCAGGGAAAATAAAGCATTATATACAACAGAGAGTTGTTATTTGTATTGAGTTACCACAGTATTTTGTATTTACAACATTTCCAGGTTTATTAGCATCGATTATCAAGGTATCAAGACACGATGCTAAGTTAAATAGAAGTGTAATAAAATGTATGAATACTACCAAAATGCACTCGGGATGTATTATAGATCTAATAGCCGCGCTATAAACTGTTACATGTCATTAAGATCCAATCAACGGATTCCATTTGATGGGTCAAATATTTGATCTAACTTTGTTTTATATTATTTGACTAAACAAATTTGTAATTCTTACAGAGTTGTTTGTCAAAATATCGAATATCGGTGGACCTAAATATTCAATGTTTTCCCACCGGAGCTGGAACCCATTATGAACTAAAAATACCAATTTTTAGACAAATTGGTAAAAAATGTTCGAAAATCATCAAAATACCTAATATCGGCAGGTACCGTTATACGGCGACTAAACCAAAACGTAGACCGATATAGCTCATTTTTAATATCAACCATTCTAGGCACAATACAAATTGTTCAACAAATATTTGAGGTCTACATTAAATAATATGGGCTGTATCGTGATTTCAACAGATAGACGGAAATCGTTAAATCTGCTTAGAATTTTATGCCGATTATGAACATAAACACTTTACAAGGTCTACGACGAATATAATATACCATCCTGTTTACGGTGGAGGGTATAATAAGTTAATAAAATAGAAGTGTATTTTATGTGTTAGGAAATCAAAAAACATAAGTTCGGCCGGGCGGAACTTTTAATACTATCCACCATTGTGTAAAGAAAACAGAAAACATGTTCCATTTTAAACTACTACTACTAAGACTGTTTGGATAGTGTTGCTAAACTTTTAAAAAAACTATAAAGTGGGTAAGGCCGTTATTTGGGGGCCATACTAACACGGGAACCTCTTTAGACAATTTTATACTTCGAGAATTGTCACCTACCAAATCCTCTTAAGTACCAAATTGGAAACAATTTCGTGGGTAAATGTGAATTGCATTATCAATATACCAAATATCGGTGGGTATCGTTATATGTGCGCTGTAGGAAAACGTGGACCTAAATATTTAATATTTTTCCACCGAAGCTAGAACCCATTACGAACTACCATTATCAATTTTTAGACAAATCCGTGGAAAAATGAGGCGAAAAATCATAAAAATACTGAATATGCTGTCGTACAATTATAAGGGGACTATACGCAAACGTGAACAAACACATACTTTGTTCCGCCACATGAGCTAGAACATATTACGAACCACAAACACCCATATCTAGACAAATCCGTGGAAAAATTTACAAAAATCACCAAAATACCGAATATCGGGAGGTGCCGTTATATAGGGGCTATACCAAAACGTGGACCTAATTTTACAATATTTCGCCACACGAGCTAGGACCCATTATGACCCACAAATATCAATTTTTAGACAAATCCGTGGAAAATGTGGAGAAAATCATCGAAAAACCGAATATCGGGAGGTACTATTATATAGCGGGTATATAAAGACGTGGACCGATATATCCCATTTTCAATACCAACCATCCTAGAACCAAATCCAAATTGTTGTGCCAATTTTTGAAGCTAGTAATTTCAAGAGACAGACGGACATCGTTAAATCGACTCAGAATTTTATACTGATTATGAATATATATATACTTTATGGGATCTATGAACAATATTTAGGGATGTTACAAACGGAATGACAAAGTTATTATTCCCTCCTTTTCAAGGTGGGGGGGGGGGGGCATCAAAATACTTACCATACTGTTGTATTTTATTTTGTATATCCTCCACCATTCATAGTGTTGAGGGTATATTAAGTTCGTCATTCCGTTTGTAATTCATCGAAATAATAATTTAAAGCAAATTTAAAGCGTAAAATTCTAAGACAATTGTAATAACGCTAGAGGCGAAACGAATAAAGAGAGGAAGGTTAAATTTGGCAGCGATTCGAATATGGACTATATCGGTCCGTGATATCGTATAGCCCTCATATAATTTTACCCCCGATATTGGATATTTTGACACATTTTTCAATGCCATTGTCTGAAATTCTACACAAGGAGTACTTAACACCCAGGTCGACGATATCGTATAGCCCCCATGCAATGCTGCCCACCGACATTCGGCATTTTGATGATTTAAGCCACATTTTTCAATAGAATAGTCTGAAAATCCACACAAGGCGTTCCCTCTGAGTACCTAACCCTCTGGAAGAGAATTATTTATATAGAGCTACGTTTTAGTATAGAACCCATATAACGCTACGTATTTCTAGGATATTCGAGACATTATTCACTGGAATTGCGTCAAATTTCGTCAAACTATGACGAAAAAATTGTCTATGCATGTCCACGTCTTAGTATATCCCCCGTAAAACTGTACCACCTTCATTTACCGGAATTGCGTCAAATGTCGTATTTGAAGTTCGGAATCGTTACTTATCCATCAACACGTCTTCGTGTAGCCCCCATATAAAGGTTTCCCTTGACCGGTATTCTTCAACGGATTTTTTGTTTTAAATTTTTCAAGTTCCTTCCGGATGGTGGAGGGTATAAAAAGTTTGGTTGTTATTAGTGGTTGTTATTACTCTGTGTCTCTTCTTCACAGTCAATTTTTGACAAAGCTCATTACCATTTAGATTTCCTGCTTCTCCACAGTTGATCCATATCTAGTTTTTATACCCTCCACCTTGGAAAGTAGGTGTAATGGACTTTTTTTAACAAACGCATACCATATTTCAAATACAAATGTTCCCAGACACTTCAAAGTTTTTTTTCTTTTTTTTTGTCGCATGAGATATCGTATTATTGGTGTCGTATCAATTTTGGCTAAGCCGCGTGGTAAGCCTAAGTCAGACTGCTAGTTAGTGAATACAACATCTGTTTTGTTCAACTGTCGTATTCACCAAAGAAGCAGAGACTTCCTTTAAGCGATAAACCAGAAAACTTCCTCTTTCTTTTCTACCAGTCAAGGAGCAAAGACGAAAATTTCGAAATTAAATTGGGTAAAATCCAAGTAATCAGGGAAGCATTATTAAATTTTAACAGTGTAATTGTTCCTAGTATCAATTTAATATAATAATTTGTATTAAATATTCACCCATCCTTAGAGATAATTGTTAATAAATTAACTCTTATCGAACGAGAAATCAAGGTAAAGAAATCATTTGTGATTTACATCCTATGACAATTTCATTTACTGTCCATACGTCTGTTCTTTGCAGACATCCATCGATTTTCTTATCGCTCAAGTACCGTAAACTTCTCCAACATTTGAGGATTCCAGGTTTACCCGGAATGTTGTTTCCAAGCAACACCTCCACCAGAAGTTTCGTCACCACAAGATCCCCCACTTTTCAATCAGCGTAAAGTCTTAATGGAAGTCCCATACGGTCTTTCTGATAAGCCAGCCAAGAGAGAGGTTGATGACGGTCAAATTATTCTACAAAGATAATTATTAGATGGGATCGTAATAATAAATATACTGATTTGGCAGTGAATTCTTTAACCGACGACTCTGCCTATTATTTCATCGACAAAACGGAGAAACAAAAATCAACACCCCCCCCCCCCCCCCCCCCCTCTTCGATACGACAATATCTACATATCACCATTTTAAATTTACTATAGAGATTTGAACTCAGCACCATACGGTACTTCTAATCAGCTTCCACCACGTGGACTAACGAGATCATCAATTACGCGAAGTAAAGCACAAGATCATTTTAAATTACGACTTCAATCACTCTTAAACAAAAGCACAACAAGTTGTCATAGTTAGTAAAAGTTTTTTCAGTAAATATGAATGTGATTAAAATAAGTGACTAACAATATGTGATAAAAAAAAACCCAAAAAGCTGCAAGAAAAGCCTTAAGTCGATTGGTAATATTCCGATAAAAATATTCTTTAAAACCGATTCAAAATTTTTGAATTGTATTTAGAACGAAGTGAAACATTTTTTTTTTTTTATTAATTACATAAAAGTCGGGATGGAAGAGTGTAATTTATAATTTATAATCCATATAGTTGTTCACTTATTTCGATCCCATTCGTGTTACTTTATATAAATTAACTATCCATTTATTTAAGTGTATAACGACAGCAACTAGTACAAATAAGGCAAGTAATGACAAAGCTAAAAACAAAACCAACATATTCCAAAGTGAAAGTGCACCAAGTTTGGTAATAATTTTTTAAGCTTCCAAGAAACACCAATACAGCTGAGACTAAAAAGGCCTTTTTAATCATCATCTTATTTGGTAAGTCTTCAATGTAAACCCCATAAATATGTCCCCTAAATAAAAAGAAAAAAAAAGAGAGAAACGATACGCCCCTGTAAGCTTTTACAAGGCTGTAACGTTACCCCACACTTATGTTTTTTTCTCCTCCTATTTATGAGTGGAATTCTGTTTACTTGATTTTGATATTATAGCTATGTCACTCGCCTGCAAATGAGATAATAATAATCACTCAAAAATGAATTTTTGTTTTGCTTCTCCTGATATGTAGATCAATTTTGCCTTCCTTTTGCTTATTTTTTTTTATATGTTCTCTACTTCCAATGTGCATTATTTTTTTCTCATTTTGTATTTCTAGATCATTATTAGTATTGTCTCTATTGACGTAGTTTTTTTTATTACCCTACATGCAGTACTCTGTCACAGGATTATCCGATTGGACATTTTTATGACAAAATTAATTGTTTTGTGAAAAGCAGAATTAAGAAAATAATGAATTGAATTGATTTAAATGTAAAAGTTAATTAATACGAATGCTTCTAGAATTTATAGCATTTAAACAAGAATTTGTGAAATAAATGGAATACATTGAAATGAATATGGTCCACTAAGCTAATTTTGAGGGAGTTTCTCTAAGATGACAATAGCAATGGAATGATAACTTAATTCAACTTACGTTTTGAGGTCCTTTATTATTCTG